CTCAACCTCGGGGGTTGGTATGGCAGCTTTCTCTTTTACAGACAACATCGGGTTGCCTGGGAACATTCTCTTTACATTATCTCTACATTCTCTTTACCCTTTTAGTCAAATAAACAATAACATACATGCATTAATACTAGATTTGACACAAACACACAAAACAGTTTGCAGAAAATATAGGATTTTCTAGTGGTTTTCAAAGTTATACAAATCATTTTCACAAACATGCTTATGAACTCACCAACATTTTTATGTTGACCGTTTTCAAAATAACTTGTATTCTCAGGAAACCGTTAAAGCAGGATGAACGAAACAAACTAATGGATATTGTGTTATATTTTGTTTCATCATACTCTTACTATTTTGGCATGTAATATTCAAATACAATACTCGATGTAAACAATGAATGTTGTTATATTACATGTGTGATGATGATGATGTTATGTTTCAATTATATTCACTGTAATGATATTTCAAGATGAAGTCACGCACAAGCCCCCGAACGTTTCCGCCGTCTGATTCGGGGGTGTGACATGTGGTGATTATCTATTTTATCTGTGAGGTGAGTCTTCTCACTAAACTATGTAGGACACGAGGTGTCGATATATGTTTGTTGTATTTGTGACTCTTGCTTGTAAGTTTGTATGTTTGATGGGTGGCGCCCAAATATTTAGGGTGAGGGCCTATAATTCACGACGGGAGATGGCCATTATTCAGGATAAGGTCCACTATTCAAGATGGGCCCCATTATTCCGTGTTCTTGGAGAACTCACTAAGTTTTATGCTTACGATTTTAAGTTTAAATGTTTTAGGTACTTGTGGTAACAAAGAGAAGAGCCCGAACTGATTGCATCGCATCCACTGGACATTCCGCACTATCTGTTTTTATGATTTTACTGTGATATTTGATTGGAACTTCAAACTCATACTCTGATTATCTTTTGATGGAATAGTATTTGAATGGTTTTGCTATATTTAAAAAAAATGAAAATTTACTCTGGATTTTGGGATGTTACAACATTAGATGGACTCTAGTTAGGGGATAAGGTGTGTCGTAGCCTCTTAGGTTTTTATTAAGAGTATTAGAAAATAAAATTTATTAGTATATAATAATCTAATAAAGTTAAAAAGAATGACAAAAAACTTATTTCAGTACACTTAAGAGATAGAAACTAACTACTATTACTTTTAGGGGCGAAATCCTCAACGAAACCATTAAATAAGGACTACTTTTATAAGTTCAAACTTTTTTGGACCTTAGTCAAAGAAAATTACAAACTAATGAACTATTTTTGTAGTTTTCTCTACATTTTAGATAAAATTACAAAACCGGTTCATATGTTTACAAAAACACCACAAATGGTCTTTATGAAGAATTTGTTAGACGAATGGTCCTTAAATTTGAAAACCCTTACATACATGGTCTTTACGCTAAACTCCGATAAAATGTAAAGGTTATGTCCATATGAAATTACCAAATGACCATTTTTCTTAAATTTTTGTCTTATTTAAATTATCAATAATAAATAAATAAAAATAACAAATACACTCATTGTCTCAATCTCCCATCTAACAAAAAAAAATCCTACTTTACGGCATCTCCAACCCAACACCAAAACCTATTTTTTACACCAAAATAGTGTTGATTCATCTTCAACTACACTCCATTTTCTACACCATTTTAATATAAATAAATAGTATACCACCAAATTTGATGTTATAATATTCATTTATACCAAATGGTGTAAAACATTCATGTGACACTTTTAGTCCCTTGTTTTGAATATTTATTACATTTTAGTTTATAAAATATGATTGGTTTATTTTAATTATAATAATTATTCATTATAATTTTATGTTATCTTGATATTAATTAATCATAAATATAAAACTTAATATAAAGGTTCAAAATTTATTTAAAATATTAAATACTTTAAAATTTTAAAATACGTTAACATATTTTATAAATCATAAAATTGACATATATATTTTAAATAATTAAAATGGTTATAAATTTATAATAATATATTTTATAAAATATTTACACAAAAGATATGTAAAAATTTAATAAGTCGAAAGGGGTATTTGACAATCTATATATATATATATATATATATATATATATATATATATATATATATATATATATATATTGTGGAATATACTTTTGGTGTAAAAACGATGTAGGTTGGAGATGGAATACTATTTGCAGTATTTTTATACATTTTTAATGTAAAAAAATGGTGTAGATGTAAAGATGGTCTTAGATGTGAAGATGGTCTTAGGCTAAGTTGTTCTTCCCTTTCTTCCTCTATATATTCAACACCTTCCATTATCACAATCTCGATCTTTATACAAAAGGAAAACAACACCTCTTTCAAGTCTGCTTCCTTTCTCACTAATTTTTTATAATCTTTATATTCATCTTTTTTTTATCGGTTTCTGGCTGTATGACGATGAGTTTTGGCAGTGTATAAGCAAGGCGCGCACATACTTCCTATATCACTGAGATCGTCATCACCAACTTCTTTCGCCAAAAGATTTAAACAAAACCCTTTTATTAAACAAAGATTAAAAGAAAACCGAACCTACTATCTAATTTGAAACTGATGGGTTTTGATGCATATAATAAGAGAGTTTTTTCATAAAAACCGCAACGGAAGCTTTAAAATTTTACAAGTAATTTTCGATTATATAACAAAACTAAACCACCAAGGATCATTTTAAAGAGGTTAGAATAATATTAAAACCAACCATGGGGTGTTTTAGAATGATAACCTTTGGAGCCTTTGAATCCACTTGATTTTGGGGTGTTGATGAAGATGAAAAGATCAAAGAGGATGATATTCTCTACAAGTATCCACCACCAAGAGTAAGGTACTATGTAATACTAGTTCCTTCTTGTATTCTTGAGTATCTTAAGCCTTTAAGCACCTAATAAAAGTAAACACTAAAGGAGATAACTCAAGGAAACTTTAATTACCAAAACTAACTTTAAAAGAGAGCAATGTGAGGGAGAAGAGAAGGCTACGATTTTGAAGAGATTTCTAAGCCAAGAAGAAGTTTTTTTTCACGCACCACTCCTTTAAGTACCTCCATGCAAAGTAAAACCTATACATTATTTAAATATAAAGTATTGACAACTAAAACAAGCATGGGGAACAAGATGAGGGAGGTTGACAAACATCCTCCCATACCTCTAAAAATCAGGCCATGAGGGGGATAAAAGACAAAAATTGTCTTCTAGTTTCTTCAACCATAAAACACTAACTAGCTAGTTAAGTCATGGTTAGCCAAAGTGTCTAAAATATTTGTACATGATTTATTAATCATATCATATGATATAATAACTAGTTTGTTGTTTCTTTATTATTTTCATAAAACAATAATTATTCTCTAATTAAATACAAGAGTTGAATTTATTTATTAATAATCAAATACTTAAAAAATATTCAATAAGTACCAACTTGATTAAGTTGTGACCCTATAAGATCATATGTTATTAGCAACATCATTCAATAATGATTATTGAGCATATAGATCCAATAGAAACCCTGCAAAAGTTTATGGTTGATTGAATGTTGATTTAAGTTCTAGTAGGTGTTAATTTTGTGTTGAAGCCATTGTAGCTCGAAAGCTATTTGTACGATGGTGCTTCCAATGGTGCGCTATCTTTTCGATGCACATGAACTCTTTGAATATTAACTTTGTTGATTCTCATGTTTAACTTTTAGTTGATGAGTGATTCTTCTGGATTTGAATGACATGACACATAAAATGGGCATTGTAATTGGTTGAAGGGGTGTTTTACATGTTAAAGAAGTCGTCAGTGGGGGCGGTGTTGGGTATAGAGGAGCAAGGGTAGAGACACCATGCTTTAGCGGTGTTGGGTATAGAGGAGCAAGGGTAGATACAACAATGCATGGGCAATGAAGATAAAAGGGGTGGGGTGGGATGGGGATCTTTTTCTTTTTCTTTAATTAAAAATTATTTTGTATAAATACACATATTCAGAAGAGCATATTAGTCATTTTATAAATATTTAACCCATATGTTTAACAATGTTAGACATAAGGACATGTGGTGCAAAATTTTCTATTCTTAAGCTATCCGGTGTGGGCAACGCCCCACCGGCGTTTGTCCGGCGTGGCACCGAGAAAACGGCGTTACCATGGCACAAACACCGCCCCCCTTCACCGTTTTTGCACGTTATAGGCTTGTCGTTGCTTCCCGTTAACACCACAACCTCGGGTAGCATCGTTTTCTTCTTAAATCATATAAAAACGCCGGTGGGGCGTTGCCCACACCGGATAGCCTTAAGGACCAACAACATAACAAAATTCTCATAAAGACCATCTATGAAATTTTTTGTAAACGAGAAGAACCATTTATTTAATTTTGTCTATGTTTTATGTTCAAATCATATTAATTTAGTATTAAATGTTTTTATATATAACCATAATTCTCTTATTTCTTATCCTAGTAGTGGTATAATTTGAATTTTGTAAAATATCTACCAACGTTAGATTACATATTATTATAACTACATAAAGAAATTTAAGCACCTTCTTGATTGTTATCATATGTAAAAGAATATATATGTATGTTGTTATTAGAGTTAGAGAAATACAAAATACATTCATATTATGTTTAATAACTATACATTATCTAAGTTTTATTTTACATATTATGTAAATATATTGTTATTGTAAATAACATTTAAAGTAAATTGTTTAGTATATATTCTTGTTATTTTGATGGTTGAATGTTTTTTGTGGTAATAGACGACTTATACATAATTATAGCAATATAAATTATATACCAAAACACTTATAGGCATACCATTAGTGTCCTAAAGTGTGGTATATATCGAGTTTAAAGTGACAATAAAACATTAGACATGATTAAACTCACAAAACTAAGCTTTCTACTACAACATAAAAAACATTAAAAGCACAAAACTAAGCTTTCTACTACAACATAAAAAACATTAAAAGTTACCAAGAGAAGTGAACTAACTAATAATCAATGGAATATATAAACTCATAAAGTCAGGATCCCAACACAGAAACACTGCGTACATAATAAGATTACAGAAGACACTTGATGTGTTATTATATGAAATATGAGCTACTATTATACAACATTTTTAAAAACTTTCCTCTCCATTTATTCACCCATCCGAATTATGCATCGAAGACCTTCACCTTTAAACATCAAATCAAAAGCCTTATTGATCTCAGAAAATGGCAATTCATGTGTAATGAACTTCTCCAACTCAAGTTCCTGCACAAAATCAACTCAAGTTCATCATGCTTCCAAGCCATTTTATTCATTTACAATTCAACTTTGGAGCTATAAAATGGGTTACCTTATTCATATACTTTTCAACCACAGAAGGAATATCGGATCGAGGTTTATAGTTTCCAAAAAAGGTTCCCCTCAGAGTCCTTTCGTTCAATAGATTCAATGGACTTGTCTTGAAAACAGCATCTTTATGTGGAACACCCACAAGAACAGCAACACCCCAACCCTGTAATTATTCAATATTTGTTATTGTAATTAAGCATGAATCAGTAATTCATTATATGAGTGAGATGAATTGATTAAATTCATACATCATGAACACATTCGAAGGCAGATATCATAGCATCAATATGACCAGTGCATTCAACACTCCTGTCAACTCCTCCATTTGTCATCTCTGCAATCACTTCTTGTACTGGTTTCGTGTGATCTTTTGGGTTCACAAACTCTGTCACTCCAAATTTCTTTGCTGTTGAAACCAAAAAAATATATGAGATTCACCATTTTATTCACAGTTTTAGCCCAGGTATAGCAAAATCTTACCTAGCTCAAATCTGTTGGCATCGAGGGAGTGCATATACCAAAACTGTAAACCGACCACCAGGTTTTGATTTGCCGGGTTTCCATCGATGAAGCCGTTGACAAGTTAAACCCACCGTTTAACGAAAACAAGAAACTGTAAAGTACCCACTGATGGGTGGTTTTCTTTTGAAGAATATATAGATTGGGTCCACAGAGTCTCCAACATTAAAAACATTAAGAGTAAATTACAACCATGGTCCCTGTTATTTCTAATTTCTACCGTCCTTAGTCCAAAACTAAAGTTGTTTTTCAACTTTAGTTGCTATTTCAAGTTTTGTATTGATTTTTGTCCCTGGAATTGACCTCGTTAAATTCTTGGTGATATAGTCCCTGACTCAGGGGAAATTGTGCATTACACCAAATGTTTTAAAACTGATTTTTTAGTTGAACCAGTCTGATGACCGGTTTCTGGTTAAATCGCCGATTCAACCAAAAAAGTTTCCTACATCTAACGGTGTTGTGTGTCGGCCTTCGAGTTGTGTACACTCTAAAAATGTTAAATTTTCTTTAGAAATGTGTTGTTTTTAACGGGTTAAGTAAAATCCAACTATACAAGTCCAATAAACTAGTTCAAATGTTTTTTACCGATTTAACTCAGTTTTTGAAGAAACCGTCCAGTTTGATCCGATCAAGAAATTGACATAAAACCGGTCATTATTGAACCGTTCTCGTCTACAGTTCCCGGCCCAACCGGTTTGAACCAATTTTTAAAACATTGATTACACCTGAGGACATTTTACTTGTTTTTCTATTTTAGTTTTTTTTATCGCTATCTCTTAATATAATCGTATCTAACGTTCATTTCTTGTTATCTTTTTTTTTCTTTATCATATATCTCCTTTACTAATACATCCTATTGGAAAATTGGTTTTAACCGATTTAAAAATTGGTTATTTTTCATTTTTGAGCACAAATTTCGAACTATAAATATAATCAAAATGGATAAATGATTATACGTTTGTCTTCTCCTCTAAGATACATTCATTTTGATATATCACATGTCCAAAACAGATTAAAAATAAATGAAAAGTTGTATGTTAAAATGAGGTGTTTGAAAGAAATTAACAAATGAGTTAATTGGCTTTTATTTCATTCCACATGGGTGGGAGCTTGAAAAGAAAATGAGTTTATAATTATAAAGGCTTATTATTCTTGTAAATGTGAACAAGAGGCTCTCTTTTGCGCGCACGGGGTGCAAATGTGAATAAGATTGGCTTGGGTTCACTGAACTTATTTGTGGATTGTTGTGATGGGTGTGAGCAACAGATGCTCCTATACCTCCCATATCACTGAGATCGTCATCACCAACGAAAGTTAGACCTGGTATCTCATTTGAAATCTAACAAAAAAATTATGGTTGATTGTAGTGACGAGTCTAAAATAAAAAACCATATGGTTCACTAATTTTTCTATATACATTTTTCTATGTAAAAAAGATTTTTATTGGTAAGGTAGGTGCTAAATATTTTTTAAAGATAGGTCCCTAAAAAATTTCTATAGAAATTTTAGATAAATTAAAAAAATTAGATGGGTCCTAGGACCCACCTTCCTTACACATAGCCTCGCCACTGGTTGATCGAGTGTTATTCTTAAGTTCTATTAGGTGTTATTTTGGTTTTGAAGTCATGGCAGCTCAAAGCTATTTGTACGGTGGCGTTCTATCTTTTTGATGTACATGAACTATTGACTATTAGCTTTGTTGATCTTCTAATGTTTAACTTTGTTTTTTTTTTTTCGTTGTTGAGTGTTGATTCTTAAGTTTTATTAGGTGTTATTTTGGTTTTGAAGCCATAGCAACTCAAAGCTATTTGTATGATGGTGCTTCCAATGGTGCTCTATCTTTTTTATGTACATAAACTAATGACAAATATAACAGGGGCATCGTAAATGTAAATGGTTAGAAGGGGTTTTTTTGTAGGTTGAAGGTTTTATTAGAGATAGTTACTAGTTGCAAAGAGCATTGTAAATGGGATTCATAGATAGATGGTGAGATTGGTGTGTGGTGGTGATTAGTGACACTGTAAATGGGAGTCAGTGGATGTGGGTTAGAGGGCGAAGGATTGTCGGTGGGAGGCGGTTATGGTGTTGGGTTTGGAGGAGTAAGGGGCAGAGAGATGAACCATTGTGGGTGATGAAGATAAAAGGGATGTGGTTGGGGTTTTCTTGTTCTTTAATTAAAAATCGTTTTATGAAAAAAAAATGTATATTAATCATTTGATAAATATTTAACTGATATTTTTAACGGTATTAGCCATAAGAACATACATGTAGTGCAAGATTTTTCTTTCTTAAAGATCACTTCGTATCAAAATTCTCATAAGGACCGGAACCTTTTATAAACCAACAAGACCATTTATATAACTTTTTCCATATTTTACTTTTTAGTCATACTAATTTAGTATTATATGTTTTTATATATTACATTATTTCTCTTATTTCTTATCGTAGTAATGGTATAATTTTAAAATTGTAAAATATTTACAAGTGTTAGATTACATCAGGGGCGCAACTATGGGTTCTAGGGGTAGCGGGTGGTACTCCTTAAATTTTTCGGCTTAATTTTTTTTCCAATGTAGTGTAAATTTTCTCGTGTGCTACACCTTGGACTTTCTATGGTTTCGCTACTGGATTACATATTATTATTAGAAAGTTAAGCATCTTGTTATTTTTTAGAACATCAGCTTTATTAAGGAAAACTAGCAAGACGCTAGAAAGAAAAACAATTACATGGAAGTAATAGATAAAATTGGATCATGCAACCAGGCAACCCAATTGACCATAGTTTTACAACACCTACTACTAGCCCAAATGAAACTCTAAGTCATCACCTTATCAAACAACAAACAAAATTTAGGCTTAACTTTACCAAAAAGTAAAGCGGTTCTAAAACACCAAATCGACCACCAAAAAGTGAAACAAAACGCCTCCAGAAAATCTTGACAAATTGAAGACAAACGCAAGGCGCCAATCCAAGCAAACCAATCTTGGAAACAAAACAAAGTAGGTGTCTGAACAATCCACCATATGCAAACAAGATTCAATAAGTCTCTAGCCAAATCACACTCGAAGAACAAGTGTGTATTAGTCTTAACTTCCTTCTCGCAAATAGGGCATAAAATAGAATTAATCTCAATCCCTTTTTGAGATAAGTTATACCAAGAAGGTAATTTGTTCAAGAAAGACGCCAAACAAAAGCATTAACTTTAATAGGCGTAAGGCGACACCATCTAGTCACTGTATCCTAGACAATAAGAAGATTCTTATCAATTAGCAGAGCTCACAGAGAAAGAGTCGGAACCATCGAGCGAGCAACTCCACCTATCCGCAGACGAAGAAAGCAAAACCGAGGACATCAAGTCTGAAATTAGACCATTGCTCAGCCTCTATCCCCCCTTTCGGTTTTCTTCTAAAAGTGGTATCCCAACCCGATTGAAATCAAAACCGAAGAAAGCACCTTGTTATTATATGTAAAAGAATATACATATGTTGTTATTCGAGGTAGAGAAATACAAAATGCATTGATATTATATTTAAATAGTTACATATTATGTAAATATATTGTTATCGTAAATAACAATTAAAGTAGATGTTTAGTAAATATTCTTGTTATTTTGATGGTTGAATATTTTTGTGGTAATAAACGTTTATACATAAAAAAAATAAAATAAAATTATAGGTACTATCTTTATGAAACTGGAGATGTTGCATTAAAGATTATTGGAATACAATTATAGCATATAAATTTTATACAAAAACACTTGTAGGTATACCATTAGGCTGAAAGGAGTAGTAGCATGTTTAGCATGACATCAGATTTTTTTCATGCCACATAGGCTAGAAGGAGTGCTACATCAAAGTTATAAAAAGGTAGGGAGTGATAATGTGTTAGGTTAATAGATTTTATTTTGGTAAAACAAAATTAAAAAAAGAAAAAAAAAACAGGAACTAGCCAATCAAAACCCACCATCCTATTTCTCTCTTCTCTCTCCTCTCGCTATGTAGGCAGCGATCTCTTCTTAGCGCCCCTCTTAGCGCATGGCAGGGGGTGGTGTAGCAGGTGCTAAGAATGCCTTGGCGAGTGTTCTTAGCGAGCCCACTCCCTTTGGCATTAGTGTCCTAAAGTGTGGTATATATCGAGTTTAAGGTGACAATAAAACATTAAACAAAGGATTAAACTTTGACAAAAATAATCTTTCTACTACAATGTATGATGCAAAAACATTAAAATTTACCAAGAGAAGTGAGCTAATAATAACTACTGGAATATATAAACTCGGGATTTCAACACAGAAACACCCATACATAATAAGATCAAAGAAGACACTTGATATGTTATGAAACTTGAACTACAGTTATACAACATTTTTAAAAACTTTCCTCTCCATTTATTCACCCATCCGAATTATGCATCGGAGACCTTCACCTTTAAGCATCAAATCAAAAGCCTTATTGATCTCAGAAAATGGCAATTCATGAGTAATGAACTTCTCCAACTCAAGTTCCTGCACAAAATCAACTCAAGTTCATCATGCTTCCAAGCCATTTTATTCATTTACAATTCAACTTTGGAGCTATAAAATGGGTTACCTTATTCATATACTTTTCAACCACAGAAGGAATATCGGATCGAGGTTTATAGTTTCCAAAAAAGGTTCCCCTCAGAGTCCTTTCGTTCAATAGATTCAATGGACTTGTCTTGAAAACAGCATCTTTATGTGGAACACCCACAAGAACAGCAACACCCCAACCCTGTAAGTATTCAATATTTGTTATTGTAATTAAGCATGAATCATTAATTCATTATATGAGTGAGATGAATTGATTAAATTCATACATCATGAACACATTCGAAGGCAGATATCATAGCATCAATATGACCAGTGCATTCGACACTCCTGTCAGCTCCTCCATTTGTCATCTCTGCAATCACTTCTTGTACTGGTTTCGTGTGATCTTTTGGGTTCACAAACTCTGTCACCCCAAATTTCTTTGCTGTTGAAACCAAAAAAAATATATATGAGATTCACCATTTATCAAACTGGTTTTTATTCACAGTTTCATGAAGCAAAATCTAACCAAGCTCAAATCTGTTGGCATTGAG